CTCCAGCCCCTTGCCTTTTTTTTTTTTTAAATAAGAGCCAGGGACCACATGGTGTGTGTGCGTGTGCATGTGCATGTGCATGCGTGTGTGTGTGTGTGTGTGTGTGTGTGTGTGTGTGTTTATGCATCTGGTGAGGGATCAATCTCAGCACCTTGCTCACATGGAGCAGATGTTCTACCCCTGAACTTATCTCCAGGTCTACTTGCTTTAACTGTTTACGCTATGGCAGTAGGTTTTTGGATTAAAAGTATAACAAGTTGACATTAAGTGGAGTAAGGTACTAGAAGGAAGGAACATTGGCAATACAGGGCTCGTGATAAGGTTCTAGGCCATCACCTTCGTTTTATAGACATAAAGGAGAGCGTTACATAACTAACAATTGAAAGTCCTCTTTAAAAAAAAATCTTTCTGTTTTAAAGACAATTATTTGGAAAGAAAACTTTTTTTTTCCCTTTAAAGTAGTAATTTGCAAAGGGAGGAAACATCCCAAGTTCTTGAAGAGGACCCTACAGAACTCATCTCAGTACGGGTCAGAGACAGCTTGGGTGAGGATTGAGTTTTTAAGTCCTTTCCATTGCCTGTGGTCTCTGTCTAGGAACTCTGCGCATTAATAGTTCAGTGCCTGCTCTGAAACTTCCTTTTTCCCAGCCGCGTCCTAGACTCCATTTGCTGCCTCACAAGGCACTTGGCCTTTGGACCTCAGGCCCTTCTCAGCATTTCACTGCGATAAACATCCTTGGTCCCCGTTGGGGCCAGAGAACACATGCATTGTGCCAGGCTGTCTTTCCACATTTATTTCTGAATGTATTCCCACTCTTTCCCTCATGCATAAAACTCTGCCCTGAAAACCCTGCCAAATACAGCATCATTACCATACTTCAACCATTGGCGGTCTGATAAGTGGTTTCTTTGATCACTATTAAGGTTTCTTACGATGTATGTTTATAATTCTCTTGTCAGGTAGAATCTTTAGGACCTTTGCTAATTTTTCTTTGGGGCTCTTTGCTTGAAGTTGGAGCCCTATGCTAATAGACATTTCACTCATTTGTTGCATTGTCTTTTTTTCCCTTTCTCATGCGTTTCTTATCTTTGAGAGCTTGGGAGGCCTGTACGCCCCTATTGACTCTATCCTCATGCCCACCCTTTGATTTTTTTTTTCTTGGATCAGATCAATAATGGGAGCCCAGAGGGTCAGCATCCCTGAGCTCCTGAATAGCATGGAGTCTTTGTGCTATTGATGTCTTTCTGCTTTTTTCACCTATAGTAGTTCAGTTAATTTACTCCTGGAGTTCTTCGACCCACCCCACCCTCCAGCTAGCCTCCTCATGCCTCTGCTGCCAGGAATGGTTGTGAGGGTCTGCTTGGGGAATGCTTAGCTTTTTCTTATGACTTTTACCAGTCAGTTTCCATCTGTTAGGAGCCTGCTTTTTTCCCTCTGGTATCTTTTACTTTTCGCCAAGGATTTATAGGCACTCCCTTGCCTCCATTTTTACGTTTTTTTTTTTCCTCTAAACTCAGTCAGGCAGACTGAGTTTATTTACAGTGGAGCCCTTGGTATAATTCGGCAAGTAAAATCCCATTGTGGGAAATTGTCAGGCTTAAGCCTATACTTTTCATGCAGAACTGATTGTTCCATGTTGACTAAAATGTCTGTTCACACTCTCTTGGTATTACTTTCTAACAAGCTATGATGCATGATATTCTAGAATAGTTCTCAAACTTTTTTTGGTTCAAGAATGCCTTTAAAATGAATGAGGAGGGTCGGGGCTACAGCCATAGCACAGCGGGTAGGGCATTTGCCTTACATATAGCCAACCTGGGTTTGATTCCCAGCATCCCATATGGTCCCCCGAGCACTGCCAGGAGTAATTCCTGAGAGCAGAGCCAGGAGTAGCCCCGGAGCATTGCCGAGTGTGACTCAAACAAAACAAACAAACAAATATGAATGAGGAGGGGCCAGAGTGATAGTACAGTGGGGTAGTGATAGTGATAGTACAGTGCTGGGCACACGGTTGACTGGGTTTAGTCCTTAGCATCCCATATGGCCCTCTGAGGCCATCAGGAGTAATTCCAGAGTGGAAGATAGAGCCAGGAATAACCCCCGAGAACTCCTGGGTGTGGCTCCCAATCAATCAGTAAATAAAATAAGTTGATGAAGGAGGAGACAGGGAGATAACTCAGAAGGTTGGCACATGTGCTTGCATGCACACACTGGGCCCTGAATTGGAGCTCTAGCACTGCAGGGTCCCAAGCACTGTTGATGAGTGTGAACCCAGCCTTTTTTGGTCTGGGCAGTTAATGTCAGCCCTGTACCACCTGGTCTTGCCAGGTGTGACCCCAGGAGGCCCTGAGCACCACGGGGGAAGCTGCCCTACAGTTATATTTTTGAGCATATGGATTTGATTGATCTATATTGTATTCGAAATCCAAACCAAAATTTAAATGTCAGGAATGCAGAAGTTCATGCTCAGAATGGGACTGGTGGAGGGATGGGTGTTCGATCATTGTATAACTAAAACCCAGGCACAAAAATTTGTAAGTCTACAACTGTACCTCATGGTGTTTCACTAATTAAAAATTTAAAAATAAATAAATAAAAATAGAGAAAAACAAACTAAAAAAAAAAAAGAAATAAGTCTTAGAGTAAGGAGGGTGGTGGCTACCATCCCACTCCCTGCAGTCTCTGGGAGACTCCTGATTCCTCACAGAGAGTGAAAGTGAAACTTTCTTGGAAGCCTGTGTTGACAGACCTGAGTCCTCCCTTGAAAACGTATCTCGTGGAGTTCAACCAGTATTTTGTATATCCTTGATATCAATCCCTTGTCAGATGTGTATTCGGCGAATATTCTTTCCCATTCTGTAGGCTGTCTTTGTATTTTGGTCACTGCTTCTTTGGAGGTACAGAAGCTTCTTAGTTTAAGATAGTCCCATTTATCTATCTCTGTTTTCACTTGCTCAGCCAGTGGCGTGTCATCTTTGAACATACCATTAGCCTCAATGTCATGGAGGGTTTTGCCAACTTTGTCTTCGTGGTATGACCGAGATCCAAGCACAAAAATTTGTAAATCTACAACTGTACCTCATGGTGTTTCACTAATAAAAAAGAAAAAAAAAAAAAAGAAAACTTATCTCACCTCCTGGTCGCTCTGTATCTTTGCTTGCTCTTTTCCACTCTGGAGAGGTTCGTGTTCTGGAACACGTATTTCTTCTTCTCCTCTTCTTTCACGTCTTTCTAAGCAAGTTTCGTTCACTAACAACTATTTTGTTTCACTGAAAAATAAAAACAACTAGTGTTGACCATGTAGGGCCTTTAAGATGACCTCAGGGCTGGGGGCTAGAGCAATAGCCCAGCGGGTAGGACACTTGCCTTACACGCCTTACACGCTGCTGACCCAGGTTCGATCCCCTGCATCCCATATGGTCCCCCAGGTCTTACCAAGAATAATTCCTGAGTGCAGAGCCTGGTGTGACCGGAAAACACCAAAAAAAAAAAATGAGCCAAGGGAACCCCAGGCATACACACACACACACACACACACACACACACACACACCTGGAAGAAACACAAAACATGATCTTAATGAACAAGACAGGAAGTCTGAGAGACCTTTTCTCAGCACTCATTGCCAGGGATGGGACCCATGGTTCCTACATATAGTATCGTATAGGCCACACTTGGGCAACTATCATGCTAAAGAACACTGGAGGGCTGAGGCCAGAAAATGACTTAGAGGGCTGAAAGTACTATATGCAGGAACCCTGGGTCCCATCCTGGGCACTGAGCGCTGACAAAAAAATCTCTTAGACTTCCTGTCTTGTTCATTAAGATCATGTTTTGTATTTCTCCCAGGGGTGTAAGTGTGTGTGTGTGTGCATGCGTGTACACATGTGTGTCTGCCTTAACTAGGTGTGTGTATATGTGTGTATGTATATGTGTGTACACATGTGCGTATCTACCTTACCGAGGTGTGTGTGTGTGTTTATGTGTGTGTGCATGTATAAGTACTTGTTTCCCTTCACTAAGGGTTTATGTGTGTGTGTGTGTGTGTGTATGCATGCACGTAGATGTGTGTCTGCCTTAACTAGGTGTGTGAGTGTGTGTGCGCATGCGCACGCATGTGTGTGCCTGCACGTATGTGTTATGTGTGGAGGTGGATCTGGCAGAATTGAAGTTAAGCCCTAAGGCAGCAGCTCTCCTGAAATGTGCAGAGAAATCCTGGCAGTTTCCTGTGACTCAGCAGAGTGTGTCCTAAGCAGGCCCCATCATGCCTTGTCCCTGCCCTTGCAGTAACCTATCTCTAAGTCACAGCCAGATTTTAGCTGGGATGTTGATTCCCTGCTGAGGGTGCTAGAGCAGTGGCCCCTAGAGGGCCCAGCCCGCCAGGCCGGGACCTACCCAGATTGTCTATGCTCCGTGGCCCTCCAGAGCCTCTGAATGGGCTGATTTTCCTGAACCTGCATGTGGTTTTGGTCTTAGGTCTGTGGTTTTCATCCCATCTCGAAGGAGGCCCCTTGCTTCTTGCCAGGGATGCCTGGAAGTTTGCTTGCCTGAAGCTGCTTCCAGGCAGGCCGCTTGCTCCCTGTTGTTGGTATCAATCCCTGATTGGGTTTTTTGGTTTTGTTTTTAGAATTCTGGGCCACACCTAGCGTTACTCCTGTTTCTGTGCTCAGGAATTACTCCTGGCAAGCTTGGGGGACAATATGGGATACCGGGGAGGATTGAGCCCTGATCGGCTGCATGCAAGGCAAACGCCCTACTTGCTGTACTATCGCCTACGCCCTAATCCCCAGTTGGCGGGACTGGTACTTTAGTGCCATTCCTTATTGAAAGTGAGGAACTGGAAACTTCTCTGGCTTGCAGGAAGCCTGTTGCAGAACAACCCCCCCCGAAGCCTGCATCCTTTCGGGGGCCCTGGTCTTCTGAAGTGGTGGTTGGCCTTGTTCAGCGACTCCCTGTAACTGTGCTCCTCTCTGTATCATCTGTAGATTTGCTGTGAGGAACCGCCACTGCTGTGCCTGACCTCCCCGGAAACGCCCGCCCGACTGCCCCCGACTCTGGCAGTGGGGCCCTCCATGGCAGTGGGCACCTCCCCGTGAAACTTGCCAAGCTGGACGCCACAGCTCCGCACCACGACGACACTTCGGCCAGCTCCGTGCCCCCTTGGGAGGCGTGCGACCATGCAGTCCTAGCCAGCAGCCCGGGCATCCCTGAGGAGCACTACATCAGTGAGGCTGTGGAAGATGCTCCCAGCGGCAGAGGGTACCGGGATGCCTGCACCATCACTGGTACGTATGCCATCCCTTGCTGGAGACCCAGGGCAGAAGTGAGGGCAGGGGGCTTTGTCAGCGAGCTCTGGGAACCGTCAGGATTCTCCGTGGACCCTCCTTCCCTGACATGCGTGAGATGAATTGGAGGAGTAGGGCTGCGGAACTAATAGGGAGGTGGAGGCACATGCCTAGCACACACGCCCGGCACCCCATGCCTCCCTGAGCACCACAGGGCATGTCTTGGAGGCCTCTGTGCATCACCTATGTGGGCCTGGAGCCATCCCCAGTGCCACCAGGTCCATTCCCATGGATGCCCGGTGGTCATGCCTTCCCCAGAGTAGGACCTCCCTCCCTTCCCAGTCAGCACAAAGCAGCATCCACTCCTCTGGGGCTGGAGTGCTTGTTTATCACTTTCTTTCTCGTATGTTCTCTTTTATTTTTAGGGGTTTGGGAGGGGGTGGGTTGCATCACATCTGGCAATGCTTGGAGACTACTCTTGGCTCTGTGCTCTGGAGAACATACGGTAGTGAGGAATAAATTAGGTCAGTCTCATGCAAGGCAAGTGCCTTAACCTCCTCAGGGACCACCAAGACCAGTGCTGGGAGCCAGCAATGAGAAGGTTTTGGGTGGAAATGGTGTAGGATGGAGTATAATTTTGGTTGACTCCAATTACCTTTGTGATGAAGTTTGCCCTGGCACTCTATCTCTCTCTCTCTTGCTCTCTCTGTCTCCGTCTCTGTCTCTGTCTCTGTCTCTGTCTCTCTCTCTCTCTCTTTCTCTCTCTGTATTTGTCTCACTCTCTCTGAGGGATTTTGGGACCACAGCTTGCAGTACCCAGGGGCTACCTGTGGTTTAATGCTCAGGGTACTGAGGATCAAATCCGGGCCTCCTGCATGCAGATGCTATGTGGCAGCAATTTTGAGCCATCTCTTCACTGCTTCCCCTTCTCACTTTGTCTGTATTATTCGATTTTGACCCTTTAGCTTGCAGCAGTGCCCTTTAAAACATGCAAACATGCACATTTGCTTCCAGTAATTTAAAACATGAAATTTGCAGGCACAGGAGATAGCCTGAGGGGGGCTGAACCGATGCTTCTTTGCATGCAGGAGGCCTGGGTTTGATCCCCAGCACCACACCACATGGTCCCCTGAGCACTGACAGATGCGCCTCCCCTCATCCTGGCCCCCCACTTTCCCCATCCTCCCCAAAAACCCAGTCAATTCAACAAAACAAAAAAACTTGGTCTGGAGCCGGTGAAGCATGACAGGAGTCTCCTGGGTACCGAGGGGCATAACGGTAGCCTGGGCGGGCTCAGTTCCTGTCCCCAAGTCCTGGCCTCTCTCTACTTCTGCACCCAGTATCTTGGTGCTGTGCTCCCCCAGCTCAGGACACCTCCAGCCTCTCTCTCCTCTACCATGTCCCCCCGCTGGCCCCTAGAGCTGTGTTTGGAGTGGACACCTGCTCTGATCTCTCTCTGGGCCCCCGGCCACACATGCAGCACCCGCTCTCTCCTGGTTGAAGGCAGCACAGTTTTCTGTGAGCCCAAGGACCCTGCAGCTGATGGCTTTGAGCCTAGGGGTCTGTCCTCAGCCTGCGTCTTAGTGGCTTTGTCCCCTGAAGGAGGAAGACGTTGGTCATCAACTTCCCCTTTCTCTGGAGTCGCAGCCTCTCCTTGGCTGTGGGGCCTCAGCTCTGGCTAGCTGCCCGCCCCCCACCCACCTCATGCCAGGGCCATAGGAGGCCCCAAGGCTGGGCTCCATGTACAGCTGTGCCCATGGTGGTCTCTCACTGGTCCCAGGTGTTTGCACGGGGCCCCTGACCAGCACTCCTGGGGATCACCATGACCTTTGAGTGTCCTTCTCAGCCCAGATTGCTGGGGTGTATGCCACCTCTCCCTTTACTGTGTCCAGAATTGGACTGCCCCTCCCCATGTGTACTGTCCCTCACCATCTGCTCCTGGCCTATTTGTTGTGGGGTGACTGCAGTCCTCCCCCTTCCTCCCTCCTCCCCGCCCAGCACTTCTGTGCCCTCGAGTCTCTGCCCAGTCACACATGGGACTTTATCAAACCAGATGGTTCAGCTTCTGGCCAAAATCCTTGGACTCTGGCCTCTGAGGGTCTAAGTCTGAGATGCCCTGCCTACATACAACTCCCTTTTCAGAAGAAAACAAAGGTCTCTCTCAGCACCTCCGTGGAAGTCCCCCCCCCCCCCCCCCGACTTAGGTCACAAATTGGAAGCACCTCCCACTGCACCTGGGGCTACTCCAACCCCACCTTGGTTCCAGGACACCCCCCATGGGGAGTTATTGCCCACTTTAGGAAATGCCGGTCTACGTGACAACACCTCCCTCTCCCGCCATGTCCCTTCCACACTGGACACACTCTTTCCCTGGTCAGTCCTTGGACAGGGGAGCCTCTTGCCTCCCTCGGAGCCTTGGTTCTTGCTGTCCCCCGCCCCTTTCCCTTTACCCCAGATGCCCTCAAGTTTCCCTTGCACTGCCTGTCTCCTAATGATGTCCCACCAGAGGTCTTTCGTTACCTCACGCTGCCCGAAGGTCGATTCGTTTCTTATTTATTTATTTTTAAATTTTTATTAGTGAAACACCATGAGGTACAGTTGTAGACTTACAAATTTTTGTGCTTGGGTTTCAGATATACAATGATCGAGTACCCATCCCTCCATCAGTGCCCATTCTCCACCACCAATGATCCCAGTATCCCTCCCAGACCCCCCAACCCCCCCTCCCCATCCCACCCTGCCTCTGTGGCAGCACATTCCCTTTTATTCTCTCTCTCTCCTTTTGGGTGCTGTGGTTTGCAAAAGAGGCATTGCGTGGCAATCATGTTCGGTCTATAGTCTACTTTCAGCATGCATCTCCCATCCTGGGTGGATCTTCCCAATACCCTTTATTTGATGCTCCCTTCTCTGTCTGAGCTGCCTTTCCCTTAGTGTGTGGCGCGTTCCTTTCTTTCTTTACCTTTTTTTTTTTTAATTTGGCAGCGGTTGGGGGACTGAAATTTAGGACCACATCTAGCAGCGCTCGGGCATACTCCTGGCTCTGCTCAGGGAATCCCTGCTGGTGATGCTCGGAGGACGCTGTGCAGTGGCAGGGATCAAACCTGGGTCTGCTCTGTACCAGTTAAGCGCCTTCACCCATACTCTCTCTCAGCCCCAGACTTAGCCATGACCATGCCTGTGTCTTGTCTGTTGAACTTACAGTCCTGCTCTGTCCCAGGATCTGGATTCTGTGGACCCCTGCCTCTCAGGGACAGAAATGCTGCTGAGTAAGCACTGGCTGGGTGAATAAGCTGCAGTCTAGTTTCTGCTTCATCCCAGGGCGGGGCGGGGGAGTAGCGGGTTGCCGCCCACTTTTACAGGGAATGAAGCTCCTTTTTCCCTCCAGAAAGGTCTGGCCCTTTGCCTCCAAGACCTGAGCAATGAGCTGACTCCCAGGCCTGGTGCTCTGCACCACCCCAGGATCACTGTCCAGAGGAAGGAGTGGAAATCGGGCACCCTTGTCAGTGCAATGAGAAGTGAGAAGTGTGAGCACAGGAAGAACATCCGAGTGGGGTGGGGGCAGGGTGTCCAGCTTCACAAGGTGGGGAGAGGTGGGGAGAACTGGAGGACCTCATGGAGGCGACATTGCCCAGGGACTTTTCAGTTGCCCAACTTGTGACTCAGGTGCCATCTTCACTGAGATCCTGGAAGCACCCTGTTCAAGCAGTTTCACTTTCTCTGTTGTTAACCGTGACAACCTAGGACAAGGAGATGGCAGAAGGCATGCTGAAGCCTCAGCCTTCTTCTTTTTAATTTTAATTTTTTGGGGGGATGGGGGATGAGCAGTGCTCAGGATTTTCTCCTGGCTCTGTGCTCAGGATCCCTTCTGGAGGACTCAGGGGGACCATATGCAGAGCGGGGGTCGAACACGGGTTGGCCACATGCAAGGCAAACACCTTACCTGCTGTACTATTGCTCCGGCCCCAATAGCCTTCGAAGACGTAGTAACAGGGGTCTCTGCTGGGAGGTGTGTCTGAGGCACCATCGACCTCCTAGAAGCAGCTCCCGACCTCCTAGAAGCAGCTCGGTGTTGGCTCTTGGGAGGCGAACACAGACCGGGTCATCACACATGTGGGAGGCGGTGTGGCCAGACAGGACAGATGGGGTCCTGGTGGAAGTCTCGGCGGGCTTCTGAGAGGGAGAGTCAGAAAGACAGCATGCTGCGGGGTGGGGGTGGAGGGTGACCTGGAGTCTCCCCAGCAACACGCTTTGCCAGCACAGTCCGGGGAGGTGGCCTGGCGTCCAGCCCTGCAAACGCGTACTCCCTCCGCCCCCGGCTCTGACCGGCCAGGAAAGGGAGAAACAGCAGAGCTTTGTTCTCGGTGAATTTTCTGCAAAGCCAAGTTGCCCCTCGTGGAGCCCAGCCAAGGCAAGCTGGACTCCCGCGGCTCTCACCCCCTACCCCCCAGTTGAGGGTATCACATTTTTGGGGTGCGTCATCTTCTGTTTCGAGTGGTTTAACCAGATGATCCGATAGGGTGCTCGGGCTGCCTGCGGTGACGTAAGCCATTGTGCTTCCCGGGCAGCTCCAAGTCTGAGGATTTGCCCCAGCAAGCAAAGTTAGCGAGGAGCCTGAGGGTGCGGGTGGCTTTGCGGGCGGAGCGGCAGTGGCCCTGGCCCTCCTGGACAGTCTCCTTTCCCTCCGCATTGCTTTTGGGGTGATCGCTGCAGCACATGGCATGGGTGTTCCAGTTCAGGCAGCCCTCGGGGGCCCAGCCCCTGCCAGGACTTCGGCAGGGCAACTCCTGCGGTAAGTGATTTCCCCCACCTTCAGGTCAGCTCCTTGTTTTCTACGTGGTGTCAGAGAGGAGAGTCGTGCACCAGAGACGTTGTTTTCCTTCTGCTCTGTGCTGCTGGGCTGGTTGACCCCAGACTCGTGGCAGGGACGTTGCAGCTGGAATCCTGGACAGGCAGAGCAGAGGGGCGAGGGACCTGAATGACGGCCCACCCCTGGGCTAGTC